GGAACATATCTCCTCACAATAATAACAGCCATTTATGATACAAGTAACATCATACTAAATGAGCAAAACCTGGAAGCATTCCCCTTGAGAACTGAAAAAAGACAAAGCTGACCACTGTCGCCTCTCCTAGATCTAATTCCAACATAGCTCTAGAAATCTTACCCAGAGCAATCAGGCAAGAGAAAGAAAGGGCTTCTAAATAGGAAGAGAGAAAGTCAGACTATCTCTATTTCCAGAAGATATGGTTCTATACCTAGAAAACCCCATAGTCTCTGCCCAAAGGCTCCAAGATCTGATAAACAACTTCAGCAAACTTTGAGGATACAAAATCAGCGTATGATTGTTTTCTTGAATTCTTTTTCAGACTTGTTTGCTATTGAGGTATAGAAACATTACTAATTGTTAAAAAAAAAAAATTAAAAAAAAAAAGAAACATTACTAATTGTTGTATGTTGATTTTGTATCCTGTAACTTTATTTAATTCATTTATTAGTTCTAACAGTGTGTGTGGGCGGGGGATGGGGGTGAAGTCTATGTTTTTTCTAAATATAAGAGCATGTCATCTGCAAATAGTGACAATTTGATTTTCTTCTTTCCAATTTAGATATCCTTTGTTTCTTTCTCTTGCCTAATAGCTCTGGCTAGGACTTCTAGTACTATGTTGAATAAAAGTAGTAAAAGTTTTGTTTTCTCCACTCTTGTTTTTCTCCAGCTCTTAGAGAAGAGGCTTTCAACTTTCTCCAGGTAGGCTGATGTTAGTTGTAGGTATTTCGTATTTGGCCTTCTTGTTTTGAGGTATGTTTCTTTTATATCTAATTCACTGAGAGTTTTCATCATGAAGAGAGGTTGGATTTTATCAAATGCCTTTTCTGCATTATTGATTATTTGGGTTTTGTCCTTCATTCTGTTGATGTGATTTGTCACATTTATTGATTTACATTAAATCATCCATACATCCCTGGGACAAATTGTATTTGATCATTGTATATAATATTTTTAATGTGCTGTTGGATTCTGTTTGCTAGTATTTTGTCGAGGATTTTTGTGTCTTCATTCATCAGGGATAGTGACCTGCAGTTTTCTTTTTTTGTTATGACTTATCTGGTTTTGTTATCAGGGTAATGATGGCCTTGTAGAATTAATGTGGAAGAATTCTCTCCTTCAATTTCCTTGAATAGTTTAAGAAAAATTAGTCTAGCTAATTTGTTAGTCTAGCTAAAGATTTGTCGATTTTATTTATTTTTTCAAAACATAAACTCTTGGTTTTATTGATGTTTTGTATTTTTGTCTCAATTTTATTTATTTCTGCTCTGATCTTTATTATTTCTTTCCTTCCACTAATTTGGGGTTAGTTTTATGTTTTTCTAGTTCATTGAGGTGCATCATTAGGTTGCTTATTTGAAATATCACTACTTTTTTATGTAGGTATTTTTGTTACATAATTCCCTGCTTTTGCTGTATACCATAGGATTTGGTATGTTTTGTATTCACTTATATTTGTTTTAAAATTTTTTAAAATTTTCATCTTAATTTCTTCATTGAGCCATTGATCATTTAGTAGCATGTTGTTTGCTTTCCATGTATTCACAGAGTTCACAAAGTTCTTCTAATTGTTGATTTCTAATTTTAGCTCATTGTGGTCAGAAATTTGATATTATTTTAATTTTTAAAACTTTGCTATGACTTACTTTGTGCCATAACATACGGTTACCTTTGAGGATGTTGCATATGCCAATGGGAAGAATGTGTATTCTGTGGCTGTTAGATCAAATGTTTTGCAAATATCAGAGGACCATTTGGCTTAGAATATAGTCTAACTCTGATGTTTCTTTGTTGATTATATATCTAAAGTATTTTCCCATTTTTGAAAGTGGAATGAAGAAGTCCCCTACTATAATTGGATTACAGTCTACCTTTCCCTTTATATCTAATAATACATGCTTTATATACTTGTTGTTCCAGTATTGGTGCATATATGTTTACAATTATTATATCCTCTTGCTGAATTGACAATTTTATCATTACATAATGACATCGCTTTATAAAGCTTTTGACTTAAAGTCTATTTTATCTGATACAAATATAGCTATTCCACCTAGTTCTTGGTTTTCAATTGCATGAAATATTTTTTCCCTCCCCTTCATAATTTGTCTGTGTTTGTCCTTATAGGTGAAGTGAGTCTGCTACAGGTAGCATATAATTAGGTCTTGTTTTTTAATCTATTCTACCACTTTATATCTTGTATTTGGAGAACTTAATTTATTTATACTCAAGGCTGTTTTTAATAGGTATAGACTTACTTCTGCAATTTTGTTAATTGTTTGTCCTAGTTGTTTTCTGTAATCCTTTGTTCACTTCTTCCTCTTTTGCATTCTTTGTGATTTGATAGTTTTCTGTACAGGTAGGTTTTGGTCCTTTTCATTTACTTTTGTGTGACTACTGTTAGTTTTTGCTTTGTGTTCACCGTGAGGCTTACATAAAAAATCTTATAACAAGTTAATTTAAACTGGTAAGAGCTTAATTTTGATTGCATATACAAACTCCTCTTTTATTCCATCCCCTCCCATATTTTATGTTTTAGATGTCACACTTTACATCTTTTCATACTATTAGTAAATTATTGTCACTTTAGTTGTTTTAAATAATTTTGCCTATTGATCTTTATACTAGAAATATACTAATAATTGATTTTCTCACCACCATTACAGTATCAGAGTGCTTTGAATTTGATAATGTACTTTCTTAATTTTACCATGCATTTTGTATTTTATATGATTTCTATGTTATCAATTTTCATCCTCTTCCTTCAGCTTGAAAAACTTCAGCATTTTTTGTAATCCAGGTCTAGTGGTAATAGATTCTCTCAGCTTTTATTTGATACTTTTTCTTAACCCTTAATTTTTGAAAGGCAGGATTTCTTGGTATAGTATTCTTGGTTGACAATCTTTTTATTTCGGAATTTTGAATTTATCATCCCACTCCCTTTGACTTGCAAGGTTTTTTGTGGTAAATTGGTTGATAGCTTATGGCAGTTACTCTATATGGAACAATTCACTTTGCCCTTGCTGCTTTCAATGCTGTCTCTTTGTTTTTAACTTTTGAAAATTTGACTATGATCTGTTATGGTGTTAGTCTCTTTGAATTCATCTTCTTGATATCTTATGGGCTTGATGGATCTGGCTTTCTAATTCCTTTCCCAGAATTCATTTCCCAGATGTGAGAAGTTTTCTGCAATTATTTCTTTGAATGTGTTTTCTGTTCTTTGCTCATTCTTCTTTTACTTCCATGCCAATAATGTATAAGCTGTTCCACTTGATGATATTCCATAGGTCTCTTAAGCTATCTTCACTCTTTTTAATTTCTTTTGTTCCTCATATTGGTTTATTTTCAGTGATCCTTTCTTCTGCTTCATAAAGTCTGATGTTAAACCCTTCTATTAAAATTTTTAGTTCGGTTATAGCATCCTTCAAATAGATTATTTTCATTTGGTATTTCCTTTATGCTTTCTATCTCTTTTTCGAAGTTATCGACATCTTGCCTTGTTGTCTTGACCACTGTGAACATCTTTATACCATTATTTTGAATTCCCTGTCAGGTAAACTGCATACTCTACTCTATTTGAGTTGATTTCTGGAGACTTATCTTGCTCTTTTCTTTGGAATATATTCTCTTGTTTCTTCATGTTCCTTGATTCTCTGTGTTGGTTTCTGTGCTTTAAATAATACACCTATATCTCTCCAAGACTGGACTTGTATAAGAGAAAAATTTTTTTAAATCCCTTTTTTTCCCTCTGGTGGACAATGACATGTGTACACTGGTCCCTTGGCACCCAGAGCTAAGAGATTTCAAATACTATTCCTTAGGTGAATGTTGTAGGATTTGAGACCCTTGATGTGAGTGCAGACTCTTCCCAAACTAGAGGAGGATTAATAATTGACTGTCTCTTTAACTCCTCCATGGATGCAAGTTAGTTAGAATCCAGGCCGCCAGCCAGCTACTGGAAAGGTGTTTTGTAAATCCCTCTCAAGTGGACTTGGGGGGAAACAGAGAGCTGTGGGCTTTTTAAAGCTCCTTCTCTTTAGTGTTCCCAAGGGGATAAAGTCCTTAGCAGTGCTTATGCACATGTATAAACTTCCACTTTTTTTCCTCCTGTCTAGAGAGGCATGGACATGTCTAATCCCCTGCATTTCTAAAGTTTGTGAATCAATCACCATTCCTTGGGGAAATTTAAGGTGTGGGTCCTCTACGTGAGGTCCAGGTCTTCCTCTCTACACAAAGAACCTGGGTGTTGAGATTTCTTTCCCAGCATCAGGGAAAGTCAGAAGTTTCCTATTCCACCATGTTGGTGACATTACCCACCCATTCTTAGAATTTTTATTATGGTTAAAGTGTTGGGCCAAGGTGAGCATTCCTGCCTAGGGATGGGAGCTTATGTGATTTGAATCTACCAGTAGTACTAAAGAGGGGAACACCCAAGCTTTATTATTAACTTGCCCAGATTGGGGGCAGAAGGGGAAGATGGGTAAGTAATGCTTAAAAGTCATCATCAGTCAAACCATCAACATATGGAGTCAGCTTTTTCATTATACATTGTCCTTTTTTAACTATTAGTGAATCAATAGTCATATATTTTATTAGCTAAAGTCAGCATTTTATTCATATTTCCTTAATGTTTAGCTAATGTCCTTTTTCTGTTTGCATTATGTTTGTTTATTTTTTTAAAATCTAGGACTCATTTATTTTCTTCATGTAAATAGCACAATAGTTGCCACAGGACAAGAAGGAATCAAATGACAAATTTATTTTGATTAATTATCAAGAAAGTAGAGAATATGATATTCCTTTCACTTTCTGATGCAAGACCCAACTCGTGAGCCTGAGCATGTCATTGCCCTGGGACCTCTGCTGCATACTGTTTGGTGCCAATTATATATTTGCTTCTCTCTCTCACTGACAACCTTCCTGTCACCTTGCTCTCCTATCAACATGTCATTTTGTAGAAGGGGCAGCAGAAGATAGGAAGAACATAGATCTCAACCTGAGGTAAGCTCTAGGGTGTCTAAATATTAACAGTTATTGTCTATTGTATATCAACAATTGTATTGGACCACCATCAAGATTTTGCCATACCAATATTTCTTCTCTGTTATGATTTACTTAATATTTTTCTCAAAATTCATTCACTTTTTTAATAGTTACATTTCTGAAAACATTTTCAAATTAAAACATAACTAATGAAAGGAAAATTACTTTGCATTCCACCTAAAATCAACCCAAATGCTCCTAGTGGTATAGGTCTCACAGCATGGGAAATACTGCTCTATACTATTCATTTATCAATGAATAGGAATACTACATGATGTTTCTCTTACCCATTGAGCAGTTAAATTGTTTTTTATTAAACTTTAAGCTCTGGGGTACATGTGCAGAATGTGCAGGTTTGTTACATAGGTATACACGTGCCATGGTGGTTTGCTGCACCCATCAACCCGTCACCTACATTAAGTATTTCTCCTAATGCTATCCCTCACCTAGCTCCCCATCTCCCAGTAGGCCCCAGTATGTGATGTTCCCCTCCCTGTGTCCATGTGTTCTCATTGTTCAACTCCCACTTAGGAATGAGAACATGTGGTGTTTGGTTTTCTGTTTTTGTGATAGTTTGCTGAGAACGATGGTTTCCAGCTTCATCCAAGTCCCTGCAAAGGACATGAACTCATCCTTTTTTATGGCTGCATAGTACTCCATGGTGTATATGTGCCACAGTTTCTTTATCCAGACTATCATTGATGGACATTTGGGTTGGTTCCAAGTCTTTGCTATCGTGAATAGTGCCACAATAAACATACGTGTGCATGTGTCTTTATAGCAGCGTGATTTATAATCCTTTGGGTATATACCCAGTAATTGGATTGCTGGGTCAAATGGTATTTCTGGATCTGGATCATTGAGGAATTGCCACACTGTCTTCCACAATGGTTGAACTAATTCACACTCCCACCAACAGTGTAATAGTGTTCCTATTTCTCCATATCCTCTCTAGCATCTGCTGTTTCCCGACTTTTGAATGATCACCATCTAACTGGAGTGAGATGGTGTCTCATTGTGGTTTTGATTTGCATTTCTCTGATGGCCAGTGATGATGAGCATTTTTTCATGTGTCTGTTGGCTGTATGAATGTCCTCTTTTGAGAAATGTCTGTTCATATCCTGTGCCCACTTTTTGATGGGGTTGTTTGTTTTTTTCTTGTAAATTTGTTTGAGTTCTTTGTAGGTTCTGGATATTAGCCCTTTGTCAGATGAGTAGATTGCAAAAATTTTCTCCCATTCTATAGGTTGCCTGTTCACTCTGATGGTAGTTTCTTTTGCTGTGCAGAAGCTCTTTAGTTTAATTAGATCCCAGTTGTCGATTTTGGCTTTTGTTGCCATTGCTTTTGGTGTTTTAGACATGAAGTCCTTGCCCATGCCTATGTCCTGAATGGTATTACCCAGGTTTTCTTCTAGGATTTTTATGGTCCCAGGTCTTAGCTTTAAGTCTTTGATCCATCTTGATTTGATTTTCGTATAAGGTGTAAGGAAGGGGTCCAGTTTCAGTTTTCTGCATATGGCTACCCAGTTTTCCCAACACCATTTATTAAATAGGGAATCTTTTCCTCATTGCTTGTTTTTGTCAGGTTTATCAAAGATCAGATCGTTGTCATGGCATGACAAGGATGACCTTTCCAGCCTACAATACCTGCTTGACCACTAAGACCAAATAGCTCAAATTAAAGGTAACAAATTCCACAGGGACAATTGTTCAACACAGGAAAAAGAAACCACCACTTTAAGAATTTTAAACTAGAAGAGATTTTACAGAAGATGTTTTAAACAAAACCATTGGATGACCTGGAATAACAATGTCGGAAACTCAGCTGAGCTGGATAGAGAACTCAGCTACCCATTGTTGGAGAAGTTGATTAAAGCAGCAGTAAAGATCGAAGTAACAATCAAGCCTTCAATCACTTACTGCAATAGTATAAGCAAGAGGCCAAAACCAAAGAAACTGCCAACTCACCCAGGCCTTCTAAATTCCCCAGAAAGGTGCACTGGTGGAGGGTCAGTGAATGAGGACAGACATGGGGGTCAGCTCACTATTGAGGAAGCCCCAAACAAATATCTCCAGTAGAATTACGAACCCTGGAGCAGGAGGTTGGAGTGGGAGGGGGAGAGCTAGGAGTAGAAGAGTATGGAGTCAGAGGAGGGAACGGTTTCTTAAGCTTTCCTCCCACTCCACTCATAAGAAAGCTTAAGCAGAAGCACCCGAAGAAAGCTCCAGCAGGAAGCCCTCAGATAAAGAAACTTCTGAATGAGGACACCTAGGTTAGGAATGCAAATAAGTTTAAGAACATGCGCCATTAGGAGGATCTGAGTTCCTGAATGCAATTCTCTTTAAAGATTGGATTGCACTGGGTATGCCCCAAGTCTGGGGAAGGCAACTTTCCTCGGAGGGGTTTGCCCGGTAAAGCCTTTGTCATTGCCTGTGGTTGAGCCTGAAATATCAAACATAGATTTTTGGCCAGGACTCCTCAGCAGGATCTAGTCAGGGCCTTCACGAAGTACATTCAGAATGACAATTGACCCACCAGAAAGCCACCATGCCACTACTTGATATTTTAAATGAAAGGATATATCTGATATCCATATCTGATACCCAGTAGAATTGGAATGCTGCTATCACCACTGTCGCTATTGTCACTACCACACCTGCCTCTAGACACCTAGCAACCTAGAGGATGGACCTTGGAGAATGTTGCAGGCAAACCTCATTTCTCTACTGTACTTTCCACCAACAGTCAATTAAAGGAAGATGAAGATCGAGTGTGTGTGGATGATACAGCAAATAAACCTTCTAGTTCTTAAAGGTTATAGTTTTCAGTGTTTAGTGAACAACGTGTCCATCTTTAAAGGATAGAAAAATGCAGGAGGCATCTTGTATCCATGAAGATACTAAAACACTGATTTCCTCAGGAAACTGGTCACTCAAACATCCATAATCTTAGTAGACTGCCCTTATAGTCATATTGCACAATGTGTGATCTGCCATCTACTGATGGCTCATTTTTCCCTCTCCTCTCTCGTCCAAGATTGGTGATAGTTTCAAATTTTTCTCCCACTATTATGTAGAATAATTTCCAAACTTGACACTCAATTGAATCACAGTATCCAGGAAAACAGGTAAAATAAGTAGGACTTCATATACCAGAAGTCATAGTCCTTTTAATACAATCAGGGCCATAAATGGCACTTAGTTCTATAACATAAAGTGCTATTATAATTATATACATGATTTTTAAAATAATTAAGTAATGTGGGACCAGTTTCTGTTGCAATAATTATAAGAAGCAAAGACCTCCAACTGAATGAATCCCTCTGAAATCTTTTAACAAACTCTGAGGAGTACTATTTGTCAAGCAAAGAAACACGGAATTAAGGTAAATGCCAGCTTAGCATGAAAAGAACAGCAACAGTCCCTACCTTCATTATCAAAGCCTCTCCCTGGCTAAGATAATCACTTAACCTTTTATGCCTTTGCTAAAACCTCATTAGTAAAAAGGAGACCTGCCTACTAAGCATAAGGGTAAGGCTTTAATGGACTTTAGAAATCATTTACATTTATGACTCAAAGCATTGAAGTGCAAATTCTTTTCATTTGAATATTTGAGGGCATTAAATGAGCATTTTTAATGGACTTCAATTGTCAAGATAAACAAAAGCTCTCAAGGGGAATGTGAATTTTAACAAACATTAAAATCAAAGAAGTAAGAAGATGAAAAAACGGAGAAAAAGTATTATAATAACATCAATTTTTGCTAATCTAATTTTGTAACAAAAAACTTTTTTTTTTTTTTTTTTTTTTTTTAGATGGAGTCTCATGCTGTCGCCCAGGCTGGAGTGCAGTGGCGCGATCTGGGCTCCCTGCAAGCTCCGCCTCCCGGGTTCACGCCACTCTCCTGCCTCAGCCTCCTGAGTAGCTGGGACTGCAGGCGCCCGCCACTACACCCGGCTAATTTTTGTGTATTTTTAGTAGACTCAGGGTTTTACCGTGTTAGCGAGGATGGTCTCAATCTCGTGACCTCATGATCTTCCCATTTCAGCCTCCCAAAGTGCTGGGATTACAGGCATGAGCCACCGTGCCCGGCCACAAAAACTTTTAAGTCTATTTTTGGCCAGGCATAGTGGCTCACCCCTGTAATCCTGCACTTTGGGAGGCTGAGGCAGGCAGATCACTTGAGGCCAGGAGTTCGAGACCAGCCTGGCCAACATGGTGAAACCCTGTCTCTACTAAAAATACAAAACTTAGCCAGGCATGGTGGTGGGCACCAGTAATCGCAGCTACTCGGGAGGCTGAGGCAGGAGAATCTTTTGAACCCGGGAGGTGCAGGTTGCAGTAAGCACCACTACACTCCAGCCTGGGTGACACAGCAATACACCATCTCAAATTAAGTATATTTATTTAGTTTTAAAACTGACTTTGAAAATCTCTTTACCTGGAGAAGTTATTTCCTGAAACTATTTTCTACTGCCTTTTAGAAACACTGCCTTCCTGGTTTTGTTTCTTCTTTGTATGTTGGCTTTGTTTGGTTGGGTTATGTTTGTTTGGAAAAAAAAAAAAAACAACCTGAAGTGAGTCTTGAAGTATTTTTAAGTGAGCACATTTTAATTTGAAATAACATTGGATTTCGCTTGGTGAAAAGAGAGACTAGATACTGAATAATGAGTGGTATCTGATAAGATGTTTACACGGAGAAGCATAGACTCACCATGTACAAATCAACTATGATGGTGTTTGCCCACCCCACCTCTTCACCTACCTAAGGCCTATTCATCTGACATTTATCATCCAAATTTCACTTCCTCTAGGAAGCTTCCTGGATGCCTCCAAACAAGGTCAAAAGCACTATCTACATGCTTCTTAGCAATCTGTAGCTCTAACATCAACATTTTATTCTGATTTTGCATTTACCTTCTTTCCTGCATTAGAATATGTGCCAGACTAAGTCTTGCTAAACATCATTAAAAAGCACTAGTATACTGCTGGTACAGAATAAGACAACCAACAAATATTGAATGAATGAATGAATGAGTGAACCCAGAGTTAAGCCTCTGCTCACTTGGTGGTTGGATTGGTTTCAGATGGAAAGTCCATAGACTGACATCAATTTGACTGATATCAGTAAGAAGGGAAGTGTAAGATACAAGGCATCAGTTTCCCGAGGGTCTTAAATGAATGCTATGTAGTCTGGACTTATTTCAGTTGTTAGCTCTAGATATGAGGGACAGGCAGAAGATCACTCTGAAGCAGGATGGAGCACATTTTAGTGGGCATTTATTGGTTACCTTCTCAGTATATTATCTAGTCTCTGTTATCCCAGAAATACCCCCAATTGCCAAACCACTTAGCAGAAGAAACTTAATATTTACACTCTGCTCCTATTTAATCTACCTTTTTGCTACTACCAGCTTTCCCTGGCCATGGTGACTGATTCAAGGACAGACTCATAATCTAAGGCAAAGCAATAAGTCATCAGGAGACTTACCTGCGTATCTCTCAACCATTGGAAAAAGTGAACATTCTTCGTATCTGGATGTGAACAAGAAAGTATACAACCCCAGGAGCTGCTAGAACCCATCTTGAGTTTAAAGAGTTTGCCTTATAATAAAACCAATATCAACAAAGTAGGGTCTAATATGGGAAGGTACAAGTTTTTAGTGATATTGTTTGAGTCTTGGATAAAGATTCACTTAAAGCTAGAATCTGCCCTCCACATTCCTTTATAAACCTTAATGACACATGAAACTGAGCGTGTTACCTCTCAAAAGTATTCCTACAACAGTAGTCACAAACCTGTCATAACAGTCATACTACATTGAAATAATTTGTTTATATGTGCATTCCCCTATACTGTGAGCCCTCAGGGCATCAGACATGTCTTGTCACCTAGGATGGTGTCTGGCACATATTTAGTGCTCTATAAATCTTTGTAGAATTAACAAATGAATGGATGGATAAGAGTTGCAATAGAGGTAGATTATATTTCCAATTTTTTTTTATTCCAGACAAATCATATTCCTGTATTTTTTCTCTATATTGCAAAGGTAATTAGATGTCCACGCTTTTTACTTTCATTTTTCTGAAGCTTTTATAAGGAAACTATGTACAAGATATCAATTTTTTTGAGAATGACTCCCACATTGGCTATTCTAGCTAATTCCCACAGGAATTCCTAAAACCAAGCAAATGATTTCAAATTTGTTGAGATCGCATAATTTACTATAGAGTAAGGAGATCTTGTCACCTTTCTTCTAAAGGAAGTGTCTGCTACAGGCATTCCCTATGGGAATGTATAATTGGAAAATTAAAAAGCATATTTAAAGGCAACGTTGTGCTATAAAAAATGTTGGCACTGCTCCAAGGTGGACTGTGTATGCTATTAGATATTTTTGAGAATTTACTCTGCCTGTGCTAAGAATTTTCAATAATTCCCTTCTTGGGTAAAATTAGGGCATCAGCAGAGAAGTAAACTTCCTAACACAAGCAGCAAGTTTCCATTTGGCACCATAATGTGTTCCTAAAAACTACTTTAGGAAGCAAAATGATTAAAAATAGAACTTTTTTGCTTTCATACAATTTTCATTAAGTTTAAAACCGAAGTTATTTATTCACACAAGCAAGTAATATTTATATACTGGTTAGGTGAGATATTGATTGTGGCTTTCCTCTGCAGCCAAGAGGGAATAAAACAACTGGACAATGTAAGATGACTATGTCTCTCAGAAAGTAATACAGTAGAAAGCTTAGTTCAAAGTAAGAAACACATGGTATATATAACACCACTGTTCATTCCAGAGCCTGTGGAAGGTAGAGCTGTTTGCTCATGTCATTCTTTCATTATTTATCTGTATTAAACCTTAGAATCTTTCTTAATACCAAACTTGCAGTGTCACTAGCATTCATTTGAAATTGCTACTAGCATTGACAGGTTTAATACCCTAGACTTAAGGTGATTGGCTTACATGCCTACAACCAGGGAAATATTTTCACCTGGTGGCAACATCTTGATTTGCAGTCATAGCCCCAGGAGAAAGACTCCAACATTTTAAGTCTAATTCAGCAAAGCCAGGTCTACAAATAGTGGCAAACATAATTTAAGCAATTATCATTAAAATGATGGCTTTTACTACACTTCGTGAATTTCTAGAAGCCCCCTGCCCATGCTATCACAGGGTATTTCAATAATAATCAAATTGTTATGTAAATATGCCAAATAATTCTGTTCAGCCAGACCCATTTAATTCAGCAGGAATTTGCTGATATCCTGTTATATGCATAGTTCATTAGTGGATTATTTTAGGAGTTTGAAAAAAAATATGCCTCAACATCTGTGCTTTAAAAATTTATACTATTTTAATGTCACAAATATATGTGCAGAGTTCTACTTCCACTAATGATGGAGTAGCTCATATTGGATTAAGTTTGCCAAAGACTAGAATTATAAATCAGGACAAAATATTAAAACAAAAAAAAACCAACTATTTAAAGATACAAGACAGTGGTCAAATGCAAGCAAAAAATGAAATTTCCTTTTGAAATAAGGAGACTACAGTAGGTGAAATTTGTGTGTATGCGACTTTGTGCATATGGACACTCCCAAACCAATGGGATATCTAGAACTCAATTTTAAAGCTAAAGTCTCACTACCTTTAAGAGTCAGGGGATAAATTTCAGGGCTGAAAACTTTTCTGAAAAGTGAGGGATGAGACCATAAGGGAGGAAGCCACATCCAGTAATTCATTTATATATATAAAACATACACACACACCCACATACGCACATATCACACTACCATCACCACTGCCACA